TTGTTCACACTTTATTAGTCAATCCTTTTTACAATGAGTAGATCCACAAGGGTACACTTGGGGAAAAGTAACCAAAGAAATGCGCAAATTATATTGGGAGGAGTTCCAGGTAGTTAACTATATATGGTAAATTATTGTTTGGTAAACGTTTACATTTAAACTTATATTTATATTATTATTGTATAGAAAAAATGTTGATGGGACGAAACAATAGACTCGCTAGTAAGGCAAGCTTGGGCAAGGAAAGTGGCACAAAGTTATTGACAATATATGTACAACATGTAGAGCCCGCAAAGAAACTCACATGGATTTAAACCAGCTCATATTCCACATGAAGTCAGGAACTCCTGGAAATTATAATGGAATATAGATGAATACAAGATAAAATACGAACAAAACAAGAAAAATAGGCGTAACAGTGTGGCTGATGGAGTAGCATAATCTACATATAAGGCTAGATCTGCAAGTCATTTGAATATAGCTTCTGATTTGGTAATTTTTTTAATGGTACATCAATGTTTATGTTTATCTGTATATTTGACATTTTATGGTATTTATGTAGAAGAGGAAATTACGATGTTATCCACCCCATAGTCAATTGTTCTTGTATACACACACGAAGAATCACGATGGAGTCACTTTCACAAATGAAAAAGATAGACAAATTCATGTAATATTCATTTTAGTGGAATTAAACTTTTATATTGTGGCTAGTCCATAATGGCATTCATCACTTTGATATCTTTTAACTTATATTATTTTTATTTTGTAGGCAGCCTATATAGAAAAATGGGAAGAGTTGGAAACTGAAGGTGCTGACTATGACGAGGAAAAGCTATTTTATGATGTTGTTGGTGATCATGAAAAATAAAGACTTTATGGATTAGGCTCGTTTGCAAAGGCAGTTCCCTATAAGAATGGTAAAATGGATGTGTCTTACATTCTAGAAAAATGATGATATAAAAGAACTGTACGAGCTTGTTGCTAAACAAAAAGAGAAAAACGAAGTGCTTAAAGAAATTATTAAGGCCAAGGAAGAACTAAACAACACAATAGTCGGCCAACTTGAAAAACAACTTAAAAGGACAATGAATCTTATTAATGTCATTACAAAACAACAACACTAGTAAGTCATAAAGTGTTGATATGTTTATTGTAAAGTATTTATTTTAGATTAGCCACTTTCCTTTTTCTTTGTAATAAATAATTATAGTATTATTTTATGATATAATGTTATTTGATTTTTTTTGTTATTTTTGTTTTTCATATATTACTATAAAATAATTTGGATCTAATTTATAAATCAGTTATCCAACCATCCATATGGAATCTTTGATATGGAATCTAATGTATAATATACACCATGAAAATTGCTAGGGATTCATGACCATAAAATTTGCTAGGAAGTCATTGAACCTAAGTTTCTAGGGATCCACGACCATGGAATTTGCTAGGGATTCAACACCACATCATTTGCTAGGGAATCACTACCACGAAATCTGCTAGAGATTCATTGTAATGCCCGTGTTTTTAGGCTAAGCATTAGTACAATGATGTAATAGTCAGGTCAACAATTGTAACTTATTTTGACCTAATAAAGATGAGTTATTTATGTATTATGTGAATTATGTGAATTTTTGTGCTTTATACTGATTTATAAAGGTAAAATAAATGAAGGATAAAAATAAGCATCAAAATTAAAGTGTTAAATAAACCTGATATCGATGAAGAAAGTTGTAGTGGTAGTGATAAGGATTCCGGATATATAAAGAAGGCTGAAATCTGAATTATATCGAAGAAGTTATGATCTGTCGAAGTTTCGCGATAAAACCAACACGATGCTGTATGATGCAAATAGTAAATTTACGATGGAAGATTTTAGCCTTAGCGATCTAAACAAAAATCGTAGTGTACGTTAAACTAAGAGCGTGCATAAAAAGAATGCCCAAATCTGACTTCGTATGAGGAACTAATCATTTTTCTAAGATTTGGCATAACAGTGCACACTTTTAACCACTTCTTTCTTTTTCTATACACTCTCTAACTCCTCCACCCCCCCTAAGTCATAGGAAACCCCCTTAGTGCTTAAAGAAAGCCCATGAGGGCCCAAAAGCTCCGAGAAAAAGAGCTTTTCGACTCGGAAACGCTGCTCCAGTGAAGCCCTATTTTTAATAAAAACCCGCTGTAAGTGAGATACGCCTACCATACTTTAAATATAACTTATATATACATATAATGTTGTTATTATGAACCTATAAATAAGATTTATCAGTGATTCAAAGTATTTTTACTGATTAAACTACTTACAAGATAGGTGTCTAGAATGGTCATATTGGGTTTGGTTGTTGGATTTTAGAAAAGTTATATGCCGAAATGGTCCTGCCTCCCAACTGTCCTTCATGGATGATCCTTACTTGATAGATCATGAAGTAGACTCTGATTTAATGACGAATCTAGACTAATAAATAGTCTCAAGAAATATTAGACTAAATTTAGTGGTAATAATACTAGGTTTCGTTGAAGGAAATCATATTGTTAAGAAGCGAAGCACTGCTCGAATTTCGAGTTGTCACTGTAATAAGTGAGTGCATAGTCACTTTCATCTTAGACATAGATATGAAATATTTTATATAAATTACATGCTATGTGTGCATACTATCTAAATACTAGTTGTCTATGCTGGATGAAAGATTTTATACATGTTTTAAATGATTTAAATTGTATATGTATTTTATATCTACAAAATGTTTTGGGTAAAACATGGGTAGATGTAATAGTTGGGTGCGATGAAATAAAATGATGACAGCCTCGATGATGACGATGATTCTAATCATCTAGCAGAGTATAGATGATGACCACCGACTATTCTAGACAGTCTAGTTGGGTGTGATGAAATAAAATGATGACAACCTATAGGTGTTTGTGAACAACGTGTTCACTGGTGTACTCCATCCCCCTCATGGTTGCCTTAAGGTCATTTATTGCTGAGGAATCCCCTTACCAGTAGTGTCCATACTGATGATGATCCTTATGTTGGGTCCCTTATGATAGGTATTTTAGGGACGTAAAGTGAGGATAAAAGGAACGGGTAATCAGGTTATTGTTGGTTAATGAAATTAAATAGGTTATTTATTGTGGGTTGAAACCCTATGTGTTCACCAGGTTCCCAAGTCTGAGCTACTCAGTTTCTTGTATTACAAGTAGTGGCACTCGAGCATAAATGTGATGTTTGGATGAGGAATTACGGAATATAGGCATGTGATATGAATAAATGTTCTAAGGCTTATATTGTATTGTTTATGCTTTTGATCTGTATCGAACATGACATCCCGAGGTTTTAATGAAATACATTTCTTAGGAAATGCTTTGATAAATCTTTATCATTTTCTTTTGGGAACAAAGTCCACAACACTTTTCTTTAAAATGTTACTCTAATTTTTAAACAAGCATAAACAAAAATCGGTCTTTTCTGGCTATGAAAATGGGAATGTCACATTCATCACCATGGAATTTTCTAGGGAATCACGACCACGAAATTCACTAGGGAATCACCACCACGGAATTTACTAGGGATTCACCTCCACGGAATTTGCTAGGGAATCATCAGAACGTATTTTTCTAGGGATTAACTACAATGGAATTTGTGATAGAATAACTGCCACAAAATTTGTGATGAAATCCTACTACGGAATACACGATGGAATATCATCTACCACAGATTTCATTCCATTGTCACAATTACGACGAAATGATTGTTTCCCAAGCAAACGCTCACTATGAGGTTTTTTGGGATGGAAATCGGTTCTCAAATTCCGTCGCAGTTTGTCCTTTGCAATGGAATTTCATCTTTTCGCAACAGAATCCTTCCCTAGCAAAATTGCGTTTTTCTTTTAATGTTAGATACAATCCCTGGATTAAAGGGATATACTAGTATAGTTTAGTAAATATTCAACATTTGTGTGAAACCCTAATGTTAATGTCTTGGTAAGCATCTTTGTGAAATGCGTTCTCTTTGTGAGAACAACCCCTTTCTTGGTGAAAGATATATTTATGATTAATTCATGTTCTTTACCTTTTTTGTTCTTATTTATTTATTTAGTTAGTTTGTTCTTTTTTAAATATACTTGACGTGTATCTGGTCGATACAAACCTTCAATTGGTATTAGTGTAGATTTTTTATATTCTCAAGTTTTCATGTCGACTACTTATAATCCAAAATCTTTTGGTCTCAACAAGATTCCTCCTTTCGATGAGCACAACTTCACCATGTAAAAAACTAAGGCTATGGTTGTTCTTGAAACCATGGACTATAAGATGCTTTAAATTTTTGAGAAGGGTCCTCATGTTCTTGTGTATCAACCTATGGTTAACAATGATCATGTTGGAAGGGTCCTCATGTTCCTGTGTATCAACCTATGGTTAACAATGATCGTGTTGGCCCTTTGAAGCAAAAACCAAAGACTAGTTATGAAAATGATGACAATAAACTGATTAGTCTTAATGTGAAAGCTAGAGTAGGCATAGGAAACTCTCTTCGCTATCACATGTATCATCTTGTACAAAATTGTGAGTCAGTAAAAAAGATGATGGAGACATTGACTGTGGCTTTTGAAGGCACTGTGGAAGTTGAAGCTGCAACCATCAACAACCCTAATCGAAGATATGAACATTTCTTTGCTCAAACAGGTGAATATCTAACCCAATCCTTAATAGGTTTAACTATTTGGTAAATGATATGCACATGTTGGGAATTGTCAAGCATTCTTGTTAGTCGGTTCTAAAGTTTCTAGATTATCTTGGATAAAGCTAGGAGCATCATGTTGATGCTCTTAAGAATAGTGAGAAGATCAATGCCATGGATCTTAATTCTTTGTTTGGAAATCTATGAAATTAAAAAGAGACAAAATCTCTTTGTAAAGATATCATGAAGGACTCAAGTAAAGAAAATTCTATAGCCTTGATTTCTCTAAAGGAAGCAACGAAGCTCATCAGCGAATCTGATGAATCAGATTAGGGTAAAGAGAGTGGTGAAGAAATTACTAATGAACTTGCTGTCAACACTCCACTTATTGGCAAAAGTTACAAAGAAAGCAGATGAAATGGGGTTCGAAGAACTCAGTTTAAGGGAGGCAGTTCATCAAGGAGATCCACTTAAGAGAAGAGAAACTCAGGTAACGGTTTTAACTACGAAGTCATAACTATTTTGCTAGGGATTGTGAAGAGATGAAAGAAGTTCAAAGTCTAGAGAACTATGAAGTGTTGTACAAGAAGCTGTTGGCCCACATGAAAATGAAGAAAAACTCTTTTCCAAAAGCATTCATTGCAAAACAAGAGTCAAGTGAAGAATGGGTGGAAGGTAAGGAAACATCTTAAGATAAGGGGCTAAATGTTAAGTGTATTATGGCTCTTATCAATGATTATCTTGATGGTGATCACAACATGTGTGACAATGATATCACTCAAGATGTCCAAGAGTCAAGTCAGAATCTAGAACATACTTGGTTCCTTAATAGTGGATGCTCTAGAAACGTGACTGGTCTCAAGTCCCTGTTAACAAATTTTATGGAGAAAATTGGTCCAATTGTGGAATTTGGTGACTATAGTGAAGGAATTGTCATGGCGTTGGAACATTTGATTACAAGGCGTTCAAGCTGAAGAATGTGTTATATGTCAAGGGTCTAAAAAGGAATCTTATCTCCATCAGTTAACTTTGTGATGCTGGTTACAAGGTTCCCATTGATTGAAATGAAGGAAATATTTTTGATTCTAAGAACAAAATTGTGTTCATTGCACTTAGGGACAATAACATTTATATGCTTTTATTTTATTTTTTTAAACAATGCTACTTTATGAATTTACATTATGATTTGCTACCTTAAAAATTTTGAACACAAGCTGCTAAAATGTTAGTTTACTATGACTTTTTGCTTCCAAAAATTCTTTTCAACTTTAATTTTACCAAAGGAGTATACATTGTACATTTTACTACTTATATTACCAATGTATGTTCTTCTCTCTTACCTTCTATATCTTATGATCTCCTTTCTTCATCTCAACATTGATCATAACTGATTTGTTTCTCTACAAAATATCAACATATCATTCCTCCGGTGCAACATCTTCAGTGTACATCTCATTGAAGTCGGCTCAACATCTTTTCTTTAGCGCCAACTGCTCACTCCCTGACGCTGATGCCCATGCTGATTGACATGAATCATCCTATTGATTAGGCCAGATAGGAGAGAACTATGCCAAAATGTGTTCTTATGGGTACATATCTCTTCATTCCTGAACAACGTATCTCTATTTCAATGGGATAAAGTGAATCTAGGTGACGTAGCACATCTAATTTCCATAGATTTTATCACTGCTACACCGATTCCTATCTATAATTTAAAGACCTCTTTAACAAGATAGCCCCCCTCATCAATTCTATCATGGATCACAATGTATGAAATCTTAAAGGTTTATCTTGGTGACTCTCATAAATTGAAGGTTACAAAGAATGGAACCTTTTAACTTCTTGGTTACTAAGGTTAGTGCATGTTCATCTCTTGTTGTTGGTGAACCTGAAGCTTGGAATCAATCTGAAATACTTCAACAATTTAACCCATTTTCTTTCTATGGCTCTATGAATTGTGTTTTATTTTGATATATTTGATCTTGCTTGCTCATTATTTTATATAAAGTGTTGAGGGACAGATTTCTTGGAAAAAGGAAGTTCATTTGTGGCCATTTATTTGAAAAGATTGATGAACTGGGTCTTTATCTTATTTTTGAAAAAAGCTGCACAAATATTGCTTTTAGAATATTTCCTGATTTGACTAAATCTTTTGTTTATATTCTTATATTATATATTATTTTTTCTTGTCCCATTTATAAAGATTTGACAGTGGCATTTCATATGCCAAATATGTAACTATTGGCAAACCCTTCTCCTTAGAAGGATGATGCTATATGTACTTAAATCTCTCTAAGTATCTCATCAGCGAGACCATCTGTTGAGATTACACTGAGTCATCCCCTCACGCTGATTGTCGATCATCCTAAACTTTCTAAGTGAGACTGTCTAGTCCAAATAAAAAAATTATCAAAAGGCTTCGGTTTTTGTTTTTGGTTAATTGTCTCTTACTTGATTCCTTCCCCGTAAGCATGCTTGCTGTATGCATGAAGCCTCATGTTCTACTGAAACATCGAGCATAACCCGTGGCTTACCTTGATTTCATAATAATCATCGATCATAACCCTTGTCTTACCTTTACCTCCTAGTCTGAGGTATGAGATGGTACCATTGAATGAATTGACGGCCAACTTTAATGCTCTATGATAAAGAAGTTGAACAACTTCTTGTTGATGATTTGAAATTTTTTATGATTTACGCTGATTCCACCTTAGCATGACTGAAACACTAAATTCTCTCCTTAATTTCTTCTTTAGATCTTTATGATTCAGCTTAATGTACCATACGCTAATGAGAGCTTGGAAAATCTGTGCCAATGGTTAAGCTAAAATACCATAACTTATTACACACATCATTCCATTCTTTCCCTTTTCTTCTAATAAAAGTGGTTAATGAGTCAATATATGAAACCAAATGCTGATGAAATATCACAATACTATGTCATTGAATGATATTTCAAACCCATACTATCAGGAGACATCACAAACTTACTTGATTATCAGCTGAAACTCTGACACGCGGATTGTTTTCGTCAATGGCTATAACTGCTGATGCGACGTCTCACTGATAGAACTTCTTTATCCCAGCGTTAACTTTTGGATGAAGGTTAAAATATTTATCAATATCTTGGGATATAAGATTTTTATGGTGCCGATCTCTTCAATCATTGGTTGCGTAAAAGGGAAGAAAACTATACGGATAAATTCAGAAATATCTCTCCGAGGCCACATTCACAATTCATTCAAAAAATTGATTTTCTCTCAAAGAAGGCTCTCTAAACCATCATCTTCATCACGTTCTCATCATATCAAAGGTTCTATTCAAGTTTTATCCTAACACCAATTTCGTTAAAGGCCCTCATGCCCCCAATTCTCCCATTGTCATTCAAGAAAACAATGTGGCATTCAATGATGTTGTCCTGAAATAGTTCATGAGCTCAAGAATTGAAGAATTCATCAATTATGTCAAAAGTTGCTCTCTTCGATATGCAATCTGCGACTTCCTAGATCCATTCTACCCAAAGCAAGTATGTGAGTTTTATTCTTCATGTTATGTTAATTCTAGTGCTTAACTGATTACCAGAACTATTGGAGATGGTGAATCTAGGGTTAATATTGATGTGGAATCTTTTCAAACTTCTCTTCGTCTTCATTGATCAGAAAACTATTTTGATATTGCTTCAGAAGAAAAATGCAATTCTATTCATGAAACATTAGGGTATAACTTTTCTCTTAAAGGCACCTCTCGTGATACAACCAAATACATTCTCCATTAGTGTTTTGGTGTATGGTGGAAGTACCTATCAGGGGTAATTGGTAAATGTCTTGGACACAATACTAGGAGCTTAGATCAATTGAATGTTTTTGAGAAAATAATTTTGTATTCCATGTTGTGTAACAAAATATTGGATATTGCTCAACTATTTCTTGATCAATTGATTGATTGTATCACTAGGAGCAAGAAGCTAGCATATGTTCCTTATCTATGTTGGATTGGTCTGATTTTGGCTTGTGATGAAGAAGGTTATAATATTAATCATAGAGACATCATTCCAGTGCCAACCCTCTCCTCAAAGATCAGTAACACTTGTCCTTTTGATGATGATATGCATATTACCTAGAGAATGGAAAACTGGATTGCAAATCCCTACACTGTTGAATCCTTTAACTCTGAAGAAGAGGATGATGAGGATTATTTTGAAGATAGCGAGGAAGGAGTTGATCTTGAAGAAGTCTCTAATGCTGAAGAAGAAGTTGATAACAAAGAAGACGCTAAAGATAAAGAAGATGAACTTGCCACTAATAAGGGAGAAGCCTCTATTTAGGGAATGAATTCTTGTGCAAGATTGAACAATCACATTTGATTCTCATCTACTTCTTAATCCACTCCCTATACAAATGATATTGTACATCGTGGAAAACCTCACCTCAAGTGGAAGCTGATGATCCACTGATCCAAGATGTGATTTCTCCATGTACAACATCACCCTATCATCAAGGTTAACATGTTCCTCCTATGTCAACACCTCTTCAAACTGCTTCTTTTATCAGGTAGAGTCCAACTCCAACTTCAAACTTATGTGGTCTCTCAGCTCTCTCTAATTTTGCGATTAACTCAATATTTAGTAGAATGATTAACTAGTGTAGAAAAGGATGTAGATGATATGAAACACATTATGATCATGGGTGATGATGATAATGACAATATGGTTATTGATGACTCCTACCAAATTCTCCATGTGATAATCCTCTATTTTCACCTCCTTTTTCATCATCAAATACCCCTCCTCGCACTCTTTCACCACCTTCTCGATCCCCTCCCCAAAATGATGATGCCAAAAAAGGAGAGAGTAGTCAAGGGAGAAATGATTTGCAAATGGCGAATGCAACAACTCCATCTCTACCTGAGTTGTATGAAATAGGAAGGCATGATAATCAAAAAACAATCGTTGTAGCTAAATAAGAGAGTAACATCTCAGATACTGATGCACCAAACGATGATTAGGGTATCTTAGATGCTGGTGATTAATCTGAGACTAATGACTATGGAGGGTTTCTCAACATAGGGTTTATGGAACATGTTGGTATTCCTTTGAGTGTTGTTTACCTTGATTCACATTTTTAGTGGGGGATTCCTCAAGGAACCCACAATGACATAAAATATGAGGATGAACAAATCAATCATAGAAAGAGGAAGGCTTTCTTCTCATGGGGAGCCAATGACGCTAAATCTGGAAGCTCTTTTGCTGCTGGTGATCCTTCAACCCCTAATCCTTTCCAGAAAATCATGCTCACTATGATTTGAATGATTTAGCTAAAGAATGGGATATAACTATCATGGAAGTTATAGAAATTATGATGGATCACAATGTTGTTATTTGAACTAGAAAAATAAAAACGTCAGTCCATTAAACTTGCTCAGAATCTTGTTTCTGCTGATAAAAGTGTTGATGTAAAAAATTTAATATTCAGCTAGTCAACAATAATGTGGACAAACTGTTGGATATAGTGTCTAAGTCCATAACTATATTTGGTATGTACTTGACCCGACCCGGCATGGTCCATTTGGGTTGCACTTTACCCGAACAATTTATGGATAATATTTGAGAATAGTACAAGTTATGATTTATTAATATATTATAAGTTCTAATATATTAATATAAGATCATATTATTTAATTAGTATTGATCTATAATTAATCTAGGATTAATTTAGAGATCAAAGATATTACTAATTAAATATGGGCTTCTATATTTATATAGTGTGGGCTAATGCTTATTTGGAATGGGCTAGGCTTGCATGGAAAAGTCCATGGATACTCCATGGAGCTTTAACCCATGGATCTCATGGAAATGAAGAGACATGGGTATTAGTGTTTACATGGATGTAACCCTAATCCACCACACTATATAAAGGAGGCTTTGGTTCTTGAAATCACACTAGTTGACACTTGTTGAGGTGAGGGCCGATTTCAAGATAGTAGTGACTATTCTCTCAAAGTTCCAAGTTTGTGGTGATTTGTGATTTCCATTTGAGGCATTCACACTACTGGTGCTAGGCTCTATAACTCCAAGCAATCAACTACTACTATAAGGTAAGTATTTGATAAGTTTAAAAATAACCAGATAAACAATAAGAACAAGCAAGTTTGATCAAAGAAAAAGGAATAATCTAGATAAACATGGATTGACAAGCCCAATCCGGTTGTAAAACAAAAGGGCCCAAGACGCAACACATTAATCTTCAACAATCTCCCCCTTTATGTCTTTGGCACAGAGGCTTCATTCCCTTTTAACAGCAGATGGTTTCTTCACTGTTTCAAAGATCCTCGGTATAATGGCCAAAATGTGATGCCTGAAAGTGATATACCACCGAAGCATATCTGTAAAATTCTTCTTGTCTGCTATAGAGTTTTGCTTGCATCGGTGAATGATGTTTATGATATGCTCCAGGCAATCTGTTGAAAACAGATGCTTGTCTACCAAAGCAAACAGAAACTTGTGCTTATCGCCCCTTGTGAACATGACCGTCAGATTTGAAGAGTCAATTTGCCCTAACTTCATTTTGTGCACATCTCCTGTCTTGGAAGTAGGCTTGACGGTCGGTTTCTTGTTCATTATTTTTGCTATTTCCTGATCCATAGTGGTAAGCTCATGGATATAGGAAGCCAACATTCTTTTGAGATGTTTCAGAATCGGTTCATACTCTCTTTGATTTGAGAGAAGAATGTTTTATAGAAGAATCCAATCATGAGGATTCAGACTGGGAAGATCTGCCAGAGAAATAAAATGTTCTATGTTGGCCGTTCCTCTGTTGACTTTGAAGTTAACGTTCACAAATTTCCCAGCCTGTGTTGGTTTCAGTACCTTGACCTTTACAATCTTCTGTGCACTCCATGTCAAGTACTGTGGTTGACCATACTTCAAATAAAAATCTATCAATTCTTTGTCAACCTTTAAGTTTGGATGAGGGACATCAGCAGTGACATCGAAGCAATGAAATGTAAAAGCCTTTCGTGTGATCGGCATGTCAAACTGCGAGTCTTTGGTATTCTTACACTCAAAAGATGCAATCGGTTCCATCCAATACATGGAGGGAAACTCAATCGCTTGATTAATGAGTGTGTCTCTGTCCCATTTTGGGAACAGAGTCTTCTTAGCCTTTAAAGCATCCTCATCCTCCTTGATTCCTCTTTCTTTGGCCTCTGCCTCTCGAGCGATTTTCAGAGTCTCATCCAGCTCTTTATCTCTTTTCTTTCATTGAAGAGCTTCAGAAATAGTTTCATTAGTATCTGACTCGCTCTCAAAAAGTAATTGCTTTCCAGAACCCGAAGCTAAATTAACCTTCAGGTCTGTCTTTGATATACCCTCCTCTCCCCCTTGTCTCGGAAGAACAAGCCTCTCCAAGACACCCTTCATCTCGCTCAGGATAGTAATCGCAGGAAGGAGTTTGGCCTGGAGATGCTGTCGGATGGTAAGGGTAAGAAAGGGATCATGAGTTTCGAGGACATTAGTCAATATGTTCTTGACATCACCAGCACAACCTTGAAGAACAGCCCGCTGAGTTTTCAGTAAAGAGATTTCTTGTTGTCAATAGTTGCCTGATGCTTGACAAGATCCTCTTTTAAAGTACTCTCTGCTGCTAGAGAAGCAAAACGTGAATCCAAAGATTGAAGAAAATAGGTGGATTCAGTTTTGAGGTCAGCACGCAGAGCCTCGAACTTGGAAGTTTCACCCTGAAGGGTAGCCGAAAAAGAGTCCACAGACGTTTGATACTTGGCCGCATAAGCATCAACATGTGCTTTGAGAGAATCGAGAAAAATCTGAGTTGTGTGTACAACCTCAGAGACTTCCTTTGTGGCTTTGGAGCACAAAGCGACTGATTTGTCAATAGCATCAGTGGAGTGATCCAGAGCATCAGTATACGTCTTGATTGCAGACTCGATAAATGCTTTCAGCACCACACCCCCATAGGCTTTGTTATCAGCCAACAAACTATCAAGTTTTTCATGAATTTCTTGAAGCTGATGACTGGTAATGGGCGTATCTGCATCAGGATCAGTGGGAATCCGGTATGGGCTATAATAAAGAGAATCATACTCTTCATCGTCACCACCCAAAGTAGCACCAGAGGTTGAGGATGGAGAAGGTGATGGTGGGATGTGAATGACAGGTGTTTCAACCACAGTAGTAGCCCCTGTATCAGATACATTGACTGTTACTGGTGGTTGGGAAGAGGTGGTAGTAGCAGATTCGGTGATGATGGGAGTGGGGATCAAAGATGTAGGGATAGTGACAGAGGAAGGAATGGTTGAGGTGGGTAAAGAGGTTGGTTCTGTTGTAGTGGGAGTGATGATGATAGGAACAGAAAGTGAAACCTGCTGTTTCGGTGATAGGGTGGGGTAGGAATTTTAGGAGAAGGTGGAGGAGTGGGTAGTTTTGTAACTTTGGGAGATACTGGTGGAGAGGGAATATTAGCATCTGTAGGTGAGGATGGTTTTTGAGGAGACTGAGCAGGAGTTGGCTCTTTTGGTGAAGCATGAGGAGCGGCAGCCTCTACGTCTGATGTTTCATTTGGAGCAGATCCAGGAGAAGAGGATCCTTTGGCCCGTTTAGCCATCTTCTTAATCTTCTTGGATTTGGATTGAGAGGGTTCTTCTGCATCAGGTTTTCTCTTAGAGGATCTCGGCTTTCTCTCCTTTTTCGGTTCTGTTTCCTTCTCCTCTTTTTCCTTTTTAGCAGCCCGCTTGCCACGGTTTGCGGGTTGATCTAGGGCTTCCAAGGCAGCCTTCTGTTCGTCAGTCAGAACCCTTGGAGGCAAAGGAGTTCTAGTGCTGTAATCGGCCATGACCTTGCTATGAGGCGTGACACACCTGTACATGGATTCAGGAATTAATCCATAATGTAGAAACTTACTCGGGTCGGAGACAATAATCTTCTTAGTATGGAAAGAAGCTATTGAGGCCAGAAGAGCATCCTTCATCACGGGGATTTCCAGAGAATCCGTGGCTTTCTTCGTGATGAGCGTCCAGAAACGTCCGCAGGAGATCTCAGAGTACCGGGTTGTGGTGTTAACACTCTGAACAACTTGAGACCAGATTATGGAGCCATAATCTAAGTTGATGCCGTTGTAAAGACCATAAAGAATGGTGAGAAATCCTTTGCTTGTGGTATCAGAACCACCACAGCGTTCCGCTAAACCCTTGATTAACAGGGTAAGCAAGCCATTCCACTGCGAGGGGAGACAGGACTTCTTGACCTTTGCGATCGTCATAAGTACATCAGTATAACCCATCTCGTACATCATCGAGAAAAGCTGGGCAGTC